TTACGCAATAAGCTATTGCAATGCAGTGTAAAAAATGTTAGAAAAAATATTTAAAAGAATATTTCTGACAGAAAGTTTCTTACGATCGAGCTTAATTTCCAAAAGAATAATTTATTTCCGTTACATATAAACTCTCGCAATCCGACGAAATTTTCAAGACGGCCCAATTGGTCCCGTCATCTCGGAAATTGGCGCGAGTTTAATATCAGATTATTTATCTTCCTGGCCGATCGCACAAAATCCGATCTCATGAGCGTGCCTTCCCATCGGTGTTTCAGCAAAACGATATCTCCCAATTTATACGAAGTGCCGCAACTTTTGCGAAACGGCGCGACTCATCTTGCGCAACGTGCGGATCGCGTTGCTCAAAATAAACCGTAGCATCCTGACGAGAGCAGTCATTCCCCGTCGAGCACGGCGAGGGATAAATTATATAGAAATGGGATCATTGCGAAATCGCGAGACGTCGAACAATGGGCCGGTTTCACAATCGCGGTCGCATAATCGATTTACACAGCCGGTTGGCATCATCGGCTATCGGCGTATTACCGTGCCTTAAACTGCGCCTAGGTATTCATTCAGCTAATTGAATGCGAATCGATGAAACGCCATGTGTGGGATCCGCGTCGTTAATTAACGACGATCGTAACCGATCATTTCGACGGTTGGTTTATGCGCTTACTACGTTTGAGTGTGCGTAAGAGGTGTATGAATCATTTAATCGCGTCGTCCCGCGTTCGCACGTTGAGAAATTTGTAATGTCGACGGTAGGGAGCGAGGGAGGGGGAAAGATAATCCCGAGGAATGTTGTACGATATTAATTTAAGATAAACTGATATAAAAACGCAAACGTCTATTTTACGATTTATAATCAAGCTAGATTCGCAGACTGTCAAATCGTCCGTTAATGACTCTACCGCAGATGTGCTCGACCCACGACATAAATCATCATCGCGCCACAAAGAGAGAGAGAGAGAGAGAGAGAGATAGATTATCGTTTCTCACCGAGGGCTGATTCACACAACTCGGAAATTACGAGCGACCCTTACGGGCGCGGCGCCGGAGTATTAAACAATAAAATGATCTCCATTTCTATCGTAATTACGAGCGAAAAGACGCCACCGTTCACAAAACAACAGCACGGTCGCGCTCTAATCCCGGCTCTCGCGCGACGCGAGCGGGATCGTTGCACCTGCGCGCAGTTGCGCTCGCGGGGAAGATGCGGTCGCTGCTTTTTCTCATGAGTCATCGCGGATCCCCCATATTTTTCAGCGACCAGCCGACACTGTAAATGTACACGCGTGGTAAGCACTCTTCTCTCTCTTTTCTTCTTCTTCTTCTCCATTTCTCGTTCGCCACGTCCTCCGCCTTATTTTTTCCTCGCGCGCCGCGTAACGCACGCACGCGGCGTCGCGCGCGTATACCAGCAATAAACGTAACACGACGTAGATGGAACGCCACCCTCGCGCCACAACCTGCGGAACTCGAACATTACCGAGCAATGCGGTCGTGGTAGGGCCCATGTGAGCGCGCCGAGAGTGTTAGCGCTCATTGTCCGCGCGCGTGTGGGTGAGCAGTGTGTGTACCGTACATACCGTTTCGCGGACACGCACTGTACGAAGGTACACACGCGAATGTACCGGACGCCGCCGTCGTCGTGATCGCCGCATGCACCTCCGCAACATTCTCTCGCGGTGCACGTGTTGCAGTCGCGTCGCCTTCTCCGTCTCGCTCTCGCACTGGGGCTTTCTCGCGTACGTGCGTACATAAGCAAACCTGTTGTTACCGCTCCTCCCCCGGCGTTATCTCTCTCACGCATCGGGCGCCGATTTTTATAGGCGAGATGATTCACGAGGCAAGTTCATCAAGTCTCTCCTCCCTGCCCTTCCGCGGGCACATCGCGCGCGCGCGCTTTCACGGGGATTAGAGAGGACGAGTTCCCTCACTCCCATCTGTACTTCCTACACCGCGGACTATCGGTGGCGTATGCCCGCTCTCGCACGATTTCGAGCCTCTTTCCCTCTCTCCCGCTATCCTCTCCTGTTTCTCTCCCTTTCCGTGCCGGGCATAAATTGCGCCCCGCGAAACGAGAGAGTCGCCTCGGATCCGCTACAAGGGGGACATACTTTAGGTGCATTACACTCCATTCATGCGCGCACTGAACGTTATAACTGTATGTTTGAGTTCATGCCAAGAGATCCAACGGCTCTACGTTACCCTGATACTTCTGCACTTTCTTCGTCGGGAAAGAGAAAGAGAGAGAGTATGTAACTGCCAGACTTTATAGTTATCTCCAGTATATAGAAGATTGGACAGACAAGAGGATATATCACCGGAAGTACGGGAAATATCTACCCTCTCAAGGCGAATCAGTGATGATGTTCCCGAGGAAACCCGAGTCGAGATTTTAGTCCCGCGTTAAATTTAATTCAGATCTATATCAAGTCTTCAAGTGTCTTTCACCGTGCTCCTTCGATGTTACAAATGAGATGTTATCGTCGCTTTCCCCACGCGAAAGCTTAATGTAAAACTAAAATTTACACCCCGGTGCTCTCAACTCCCATCTGTATCGTTAAAGCATTGATACCATTTTAGAAAGTGCTATTGAATCTTTGTTGGAAAATTATAGTTACGTAATCATTCGGTAATTCGATTGCAACGCAACGCGTTTCGGAGGCGGCGATCGCCGAAGTGCGCGATGTCGTGAGGTGAAAATTCTTAAACGCTACCGTGACGTGCGTGATTATCGGAGGAAACTGAGGAAACGAGTAAATACGCGCGATTAATAGCCGCTACTTTCGCTCTCACGCGCATAAAACCGAAATTTATGGATCGTGTCTTCTTAAAACGTGTCTTGTAATCTCTCGCGGTCGAGCCTGTTCTCTGATTACGCCCGTTGCCCGACGCGCATCCTTGTGTTTAGTTCTCTATCAGCGGCTCCGCTCGCGAAGTCAGCTTCCCCGCGCGCGGGCGCGCACGTTCACGTGTACGTGTGCGCGCAACGATTCCAACACTTTGCTACGCGAACGCACGGCGGAGAAGGGACGGAGGAGGGAGAGAAGTCGCGCCGTTATCTTCGCGCTTAAATCGAATACGGATGAAATTCCACGGTTCATACAAATGGACGACACACACGGGAACGTCCGCAGCTTCCTGCACTGTTGTTGTTGGCGTTCCGATCAGCGAGGACGATCAGCTGTTACGGGATCCACCCACACATACGAGCGCGGTAAGGGGGAGAACCCGCTTCTAACGCGACCCAACCGCAACCACGCAAATGGTCGTGTGTAAGACGTAATCGGGACAGTTTTTCTTCGGAAGGTTAATGCCGGCGAGCGTTACGCTTCTTACGATCTCGGTACGCTACTTGAACTCGGAACGGTAATACCGATGTACCGGCCGTCCTTTTCTCGTCCTTCGTATATGAGACGTAATTTTTACACGTAACTCGAGAAGACAGTAGAATAGCGCGCCTAACAGTTGTGTTACGAATAGAAATTGAGTTAGAACAGGAAAAGCTGCATCGTGGAAAACATGAAATATATATATTGTATAATTGGAATTTCGCCACTTTGCATCCTCGTGTTTTTGATTTTTTTTCTCTGTTCTCTAAAAAAAAATCTGTCTCTACACGAACAATTCAATGTAGTAACAATTGTCACTAAACTATTTTTTTTTTTAATTTAAAGGAATCCGCACACGTGTAACATCATCCGAAGTTGAAATTGATTCCCTCGAGTTCTCGGAATGATTGGTGAAACCGCTATTGCACCGGACAATCCCACCTTATGAATGAATTCTACATTACAAGGTGCATAACAATATCTTGATCGCCTTCTCTTTATGGTTATCACGAAAAAGGAGATGTAACGCCTTTCGGTTGTAGATGCATGAAAACACGTGCGGAAATGTTTCTATAGTATTTACGATGACGCGAGACGATCCGTGCGAATCGAAGAATGTGGGCTCCCTACTCCTTTTAATGAGATAATATATATGCGCGGCTACACGACCAGGTAGAATTTGAAACTTAAGCATTATCATAGAAAGATCCGAGTCCTGGCGCAGCGGTAGAAATCAAATTATAGAGCGAAAGATCCGACCTACTTTCCGTATTGCGTGCCCATGAAATAATACCTGTCTTTTACCGGTAATTTAACTATTCCTCGAAACTTTAAGGCAGTTATAACCGAAGTTTTATTACTACTCAGTGAATTTATCACAACTCTGTACAAAGACCCAAGAGAACATTAGAAATTCTCGATCACGCGAAATTTTACTGACAAATTCTCGGGTTCGATTCGCGCGCCTCTTTAACGCAACAAAACTTCCGCAAATTCTCGTTACACGAAAAAGCCAGCTTCGAGTTCTTCCTTTCACTCAAGAATCCGATCGAGGCGCGAGTGAATCAGCGCGTAAATCCTGGCAAAAAAGAATCAACGGAATCCCGTCCACTCCGCGACCTAGCGAGATCCAACGCGAGCCGGAATCATAATGAAATTAATGCATTATCCTCGGCCGTCCCTAAGTCGGCCGCGCGATCGAGATCACTAGTCGAATTTATGAAGCAACCCACCCATATCTTAATAGGCATTCCTCCAGCAGCGGAACAACAGAAGCAACGGCAGCAACGCGGGGGCCCCACGATCGCCGCGTAATTCACGCGGGGGAGGGGAGAAAACGTGCGGCGATTCGATCGCATTCGGCGGGGCATTAAAGCGAAAGAGGCGAGCGAAATAAAAAGTCTCGCGGGGACGAGCGCGCACGGACGGAAAGAATAAGGGCGCCGTGAGCCCTCCGGTAGCGAATGAACGCGCAGCGAGACCCGTGCTCCGTGGAGCTGAGGGGCGTTCTTTGAGATGGGCGATCGCTCCGCGGCGCGGAATCAATATTGTTGGATTGCTTCGATAACGCCTCGTAAATATAATAAAGCCCTCCAACCCCACCCCCGTGCCCTCGCTTCGCGTAGCCCTCGCGCAGAGCTGCCCAAGAAAGAGATAATGGTCGGAGCCCTGGAGCACCCGGTTGGAGGGGGCGCGATGGTAAGGGTCCCCCTCGCCCTTCGTCTCGCTCTACCACGTAGTTTTCGCTCTTTCTCTCTCCCGCCTCCTCTTTCTCCCTACCTGCCTTCCTCCCTCTCCGTCCGATCCCTCACCACATAGTAGCGCGGGCAGACCTGTCGGGCACCAGAAGAGCCGACTCAGTGAGTTTCAGTCCGAGCCGGCGAGCGCTTGGCACTCTCTCTCTTTCTGCCGCCCGTATCCCCGAGAACCGTGCCCACGGTGATACCCGAACATTTCTCGGCGGCTGTGTGTGTGGTCCCCCGGTCTTTTCTCGGTCGACGAGTCCTGTGCGGTTCGAGAAAAGGGACACATCGCCGACTGTCGCGGGGGGCGCAAGACACGGTGACTTTTTCGAGTGAGAACCGACTCGCGCTTTCGCAAAGCCGCCCGTGGTGGGTGGTTGAGGTCGACGGAAGGTTTCCGGAACACGATCCCGGCGACGAGCGCATTCCGCCCGGTGAGATAATCAGCCGACCGGGCCGCGGAGACTTCGACGACCGATACGGAGGATGTCACGCTCCATGGACCACCCTGGCTGCCGCGGCCGTCGCCGTGTCGCGGTGGCGATGATCCCGCCGGCGACCCTGCGGTGAGAGAACGTCGCGTGTGCGTGTTCCCTTCCCAACGACGGTAGTGAACGACGGTAGTAGTGTGACTCTCTCGACGAGTGTCGTTGGCGAATCAATGAAGCTTCCCCACGACACGTCGCTCGCAACGTAACGTAGCTGACGGGATTGATCGGTTTTTTCGAGTGATAATCACGGAAAAGGGGCTTGATGTTGTTGTTATTATTATTGTTGTGCTGTTGTTGAATCGATCGGCGGACGTGTGGTTTACTCGAAATAGCGAGAGCAAGCAGCTTTGAGAGACGGAGCGCGCGGTTCTCAACGAGGCGACGATATATACCGTAGCGTTTGGTGTTTGCGTTCTTGCTCGACGTCTTGCATTTTCGCACGACGCTCGTGGGAAGTTGTACCGATCACGGATTAATGCACGCCGGAAATCACAGCATGGAAGACGTAAGCGTGAGTACTTGCCTGTGTACTATTTTATCTCAATGCGTAAAAGCGGGAACAAAGCGCCACCGTCAGTAGATAACGGCGATTTGCAATGCGCGATGAGCGAGCGCATCTCTTGACGAATCTTATCGGATTTCGCGGTTCGTCGCAAGATTGAACAACATGTCGTGTACTCTCTTCTCCGTTTTCATTTATCATTTATTTTGACGATGACAATTAATTGATACCTGCGTTCAGGCGACTGCAAATATTTCTGCGCGCATTTCTCAGCTTTTATTATAATTTTATTCCCGGAGCATTTCGATTTCTCTCTTTTGACTCTTTTACTATCATGATATCGCTCTCATGAATTAAGAGACAGATTCACAACCTCCGGTTAATTTAATTAGCCGATTATTCCATTGGAATTGACCAATTCGCATTTGACATTAAGCAGAAATAAGCAACCACTTAACCGGCCGATCGAGTTAACCGGAGGTTGTGAAACTGGTCCTAATACGTTTAACTGCCGGGTAACTTTTATATGTCTTACCGTCTACGTCGCGATGAAATTTTTACCATCGTAACCATACAATGCTTATAATGATAAAATATCGTGCAATACGATTAAATTACACTCTATACTCGTATACATCATGCATGGTGATTTGTCTCACGGAGGTCACCGATGACCCCCGTGACGCTGCTGAAAAATAAGCTGGCGGTCACCGGTGACCTCCATGACGGTCGACGTGTTAATTAAACTCCGATTAACCGCGCCGCACTTAATCTACTTATAGAAAAATTCACGGAGCAAGATTACCTACAGTATGTACCTCATATATCTGAAACCAACGCTTACCTCATTTCTGTCGCGCAATCAAGCACCTATTCTTGCGTGTTACTCTAATCATCGCGCCGAGCAAAGCGGTGAATCGAGATCCGAGAGAGACGAACACGTTTAAGTCCGTAAACAGCTTAGGACGAATGACCGTCGTCGCGTGTGACAGCCGGCATATTAGACGCCGGCAACGGACGAATTTCCGTCGGCGAAGCGCAAAAAAGCGGGGCCTCGTCTGTGCGAGAGGGCAGAGGGGAGGGATGGATTCGGTCGCTCGTTACACCCTGGTCGATTAGTCTCGGGAGACGACGCGGTAGCCAGGCTGGACCCGAGGTCGCTGTGAAGCCGCGTACGTGTGTGTGTGTGTGTACACGCGAAGGAGAAGCAACGATCTCTTAGTCGACGAGCTTATTAGTTCGCATTGGTCGACTCTCGCGCGGGACAATGCGCCGGGGATTGCATATTGTTGTTTATATTTACGCGTCGCGGCATAAATCTTCGTTTAAGTCGCATTCAGCCGCGGTATACGCCGGGAGAGTATGGGCGCGCGCGCGTATGTGTTCCTCGCGCACATCGGAGGCGCGTGCTCGCGAGCGCACATGGTCGTCACGGATAACGCGCGGTCTTCATTAAACCTAACTTCTTTGCGTGCCGACCGACCATTAAGGGCGAAGGACCGGCCTACGGCTAATTTGTACTGTAAATGAGATCTCGAGGATCGTTACACACGTGAAACAACGTCACTCTAACGGCGCTCGCAGCCCGAGCGCTGCGTGATCATCGCTTTCGAAGTCGACGAATGAGGAAATCGGCAACGCAAATACAGACGCGTGTGTGTTCCCATCGCGCTCATTCTCCCGTGGCTCGCGTGAATCGCTCGTCCTTCCGCATACGTCCTGACACCCGATCGTTCCACGGATCATAACACTGGGAAATTCGATGTAGTGTTTGAACCGGAGCCAGAAATTATATTCGAAGCTTCGGCTTTTCGAACTTTCTCGAAGCTTTGAATTTCCGAACTTCCTTCGGCACATTATGTTCGAATAATGAAATTGTGAGGTGTGAAAATTCGAATGGTCGAGTATTCGAATGTTTGAATATTCGACATTTCAACAACTGGAAGGTACATGTGTTCGATTTTTTTCTCCTATTGCGTTATATCGTTACATATCATGGCAAAATTCGCATTTATTTCAAAATAAAGTTAATGAGATTCGTCATTTATTATGCTACCTTCATTCGCTTTGTATTAAGCTAGAAGAATACGAATCTCAAAATTGAATTAAGGACACTCAAACAACACATGTGTTTAAAAAACGCCTCAAATGCGTCCTTTAGACATCCTACTGTCTAAAAGACGGTATTTACGACGTCTTAGGACGTTTCAGTGTTATCTGCGTTAAATCGATACACTCTCTAATTGCACAGCATTTTGTTGCACTCTCCAGAATTAATTCTATCAACCGCTTTGATATTTCGAGTCTTCTAATAATTTGACCTCGAATCTTCGCACTTCGTCGTGAAATGTCGAAGTTTCGAATGTTTCGAATAGCACTGCCCCTAGTTTGAACGTGTTAGCGAAAAGCAGCTGCGTTTCCGATCGGAACAATGTGGCCCTTCCCGTCTCTCTCCGTGCGAATCGAGCAACGTTCTCGAGATTAAGACATTATTCATAAGATGCACTTAGATCGAGGCATTCGCCGCGTATGGTAATGCGACGTACTACTTTCGGAATTGTCTATGCGTGCGCGAAAGCGAGACGGCCCGTGATGAGTACCTTCGGATCGCGGCGAAGCAATTTTCGCCGGCTAACTGACCTACCTGCTTATACACAGCGCCGCGTGCGCGCGCAAGCGATCGAGACTGCCCATCCGCGTGAGCATTTATATCGTCGTGGCGGCTAAGAAGCGCGCGGACGGTACGTAATATTTCGCCTAGGCACGAGCAAGACTCTCGGAATATGCGTCTGTATCGGTAAATTACGGCCATTAAATTATGAATATACGCGGCGAGCGCGTTTTACGAGAATTATTTTGCCGTGTAAAGGGAGGGATTCATTCGCCGCGCGAACATTAATTCTTCCGTGCCGGTAATGGCACGGCGTGGTAGCGCCGATGATGCGACTCCGATCGCGGGACTACCGCGCCGTAACTTCCACGGAAACACGGCCTGGACCGACCGATCTTTCAGCGTGATCGACAGTTCAATTTATGCCGTTAGATCGCGTCGATTCCGAAACCCTCCAGCCCTCTCCAATTAGGGAATCTACGCTGCTCCCGACACGGTCGTGATCACCTCATTAAGGTTTATGTTTCACCGATTTACAACATGTTGAGTCAAAGAATGCGACACAAACGGTCGATAGTACGTCGATTGTAAACATTTTTTATACGTTCGATGTCTTCCGGAGCGCATACGCACTTATTCACCCAACATCGCTTCGATAACGCGATATCGAGCGGAAAATTTCGCGGCACGAACTCCCCCCCCCCCCCCCCC